AGTAAAAAACAAAAATGGTTTGGGTCAATTTAGAAATTGGGTTGGTTTAACGGGCGGAGCAACATTTTGAAATTGGGTTTGGTTAATTATTGTTATTGGGGTACAATCCAAGAAAAAAAGTTGAAACGCTAGAAGGAGGGCTTGAAATAAAATCCAAGAAAAAAAATCGGAACGCTAGAAGGAGGGCTTGAACCTCCGACCTTGTGGTTAACAGCCACACGCTCTAACCAACTGAGCTATTCCAGCTACTTGTCTAAGAATCATAAATTAATTTAATTAAACAGTATTTTCTACGTGGAAGAGTGAAGACTCTGCAACTGTAATAAAAGGCGTATGCCTTGAAATCTTAAATTTGATAAATCTCATAGCTTCCGTGTGTGTGTGTGTTTTTTTTTCTCTAAGGTTTTAGGAAGAAGAAGATATTGGGTGTACGATTATATATTATTGGATTTTTTTTAATGAAATTATAAGTATAAATTACAATTATTATTAAGTATTATATTTATATATAAAAAATTATTGGTTAACCAAACAAGCAAATTAATCAACAAATTAAAATATAACTAAACAAATTTAATATAAAGTTCAATCAAATTTACATATAATAAGATTTGAACTTAAAACTTTATGATTTTAAGATCTTTTTTTTAACACAAAGATAAGATTTCATTAGTTTAACATTAAATACTTAACTATAGATATATTAAAGAAAAATTTTCAAATGAAAATTTAAAATAACAACTTTTATTCTCGAATAAATAACCATATAAATGATTAAGCAACTAATAATATTTGTAACAAATGTTTTATGGGATTAAACCCTTCTTTCACTGGATTTTAATTGGGAAGATATTATAGGAGCAAAGTCTAACTTTTTTTTTGTCTTCAGTTGCTAGTCTTAATGATCAAATCAATCTTAAGAAGACATCAAAGTTAGTGTCGAACCTCAATCTTCCCCCCTTCCCCTTTATGTAAAGCTCAACCTATCCTTGAATGACCAAAAAAAAAGTCTAACCCTTTTTCTTCTAGCTTTGCTTTTGTTGATGCAAGCATTTTTTTTTAATGGCGTATTGTTAGCTTAAAACTTGTGGCGATTTTATCTTTTGAAAAAAGGTATTTTAATAAGGAAATATTACTCCTTACTTGTAAGCCAAGGTCTGATATTTTGCAATCAAAGTGATCAAGTACAGTTAATGTGGTAAAAAATCATGCAAGATGATCGATCATCTAAACTTTTGGTATAAAGTCTGACCAAATTAAAATGTGGGTTTAGTCTAATTATAATTGTAGTTTTTGCTTGTATTTGTAATTTCATTAAAAATTAAATATGCAAGTTATGATCTTTAACGTGTAACACTTCAATTTTTCATCAAATTATTATGAAGAATCATTATAATATATATATATATATAAATATTTAAAATCATACTTATAAAACATTTTTGATAAAACAAAATCATAATTTTTTCGATGAATCTTCACTTAACATTCAATTAGCAATATTTTGTGATTTTGAAAAACTATACCAAAGACACTAACGATAAAGTTTGAAACCGAATTTAACTGTTGCAAGAATTGGAAAGAATTACAAGTGAAACAGACTACAGAGAATTTATTAAAGTTTTCCTATTTAAATATCAAATTGCGGAGTTAACTGCGAGAGAAATTGTTACTTGAAAATTTTCTTCAGGACAACTTTTTCACTTCTCATTTTACATCTAATTTCTTTTGAAATCACTTCTTTTTTTTTTTTTATTTCTATTCGATTATTTCCTTTATTTTTTGTTTCTCTCTTATCAATCAAAAGACACAGATAAGTTTCAATATTCAAAAACCCAAGTAGATATTAGAAGTTGTAAGCCAAATCGTCTAAATTCCCAACTCCCACTGCATGGATCACATCTGAATGGCCGCATGATATTTGGCAAATGACATGCCATTCGCTTGACAGCATATAGCGTCGAATGACGTAATAATATCACATGCCCTTTGACAAGTGCAGAGACAAATCTAGGAGGGGCAAGCATGGGTCATGATTTCAAAAAAAATTTTGATAACCTTAAATTACTATTTTGGTATTGTTATTTTCTTTCTTGAACCTCTTTCAATTTAATTTACTATTTCCTTAATACTTGGTCCTCTCAATATCATAGTATTCACTTTGTCTCTAAACATGTCACATAACATTATTATATCAATCATTAAAAATTGACAGAACATAAATAATTAAATTAAAAAATAATAATAATTAAGAGATTGTTTTAAAATACTATCATAATTAAGTGATTAATAATGTATTTTATCTTAAATTTTATTTTAAAATCTTGAAATTAAAATCTTAAATAAAAAATCTCGTTTTTAACAGAGAAAAGCTGTATCGGAGCAAGTAAACCAAATTTTGTATGGCATACTCGAATAGCAATGAATCCACCAAAGGTTTTTGCAAAAGAGGCAAAGCGTAAAAGGAAAACCGACGGAGAGCTAAAAAGGGATGTTGAAGGTCAAATTTCCCTGGTGACTAAAGGCTAAAGCACTTTGGGTAGCGAACGGTAGAGAAAATGGTAGTAGAAATTTGGGTGATGGGATGGGATACCAGGGGAGAGTGGGTGACAGACCCATGAAGCTGACCCACCACCACCATTACACCACCCTTCCTCTCTCACTCTATAGGCCACTGGATTTCTTGATTGGCTACATATCAACGCTAACAGCCAAAACAACCCAACCACAGCAATAAAACCAACTTACGAATAAGATAACAGCATCCCCTCCCCAATAAATATGGTCATAATTCGGTTTACTATAAATATATATAAAATACAAAAATTAATGGATTATAATTTATATGAACATGTTAAATAAGAAATTTATTTTTTAATTTTTTATTACTCATTTTTTTTGTTAAAATTTTAAACTATATTATTATTATTATTATTATTATTATTTAGTTTCTAGAATTTTACTATTATGATTCCCTTTCAAATAATAATAATAATAAATTTTTAAAGATGAAATTTTAAGAAAATCCGAGTAATGATTTTTTAAAATCTCTAAGTAAAAATATTTTTATAAAAAATATTATTAAAATAATGAAATATTTAGAAAAATATTCAATATAAAAGATTTTTCGTTCATTTATTTTCCTAAAATTATATTTACAATAAAATAATGTTTTATAAAAAAAGGGAGAAATAATAAAAAGGAAGAATGACTCTTCTTAATAATGAAATTAATATAATGATACATAAATATTATAATTAACTATTTTTATCTTTCAAAAAAATAAAATAGTAATAATAATAATAATTAAAAAATAGAATAAAAATAAAAAATAAAAATTTTCGAGAATAAGATTCTAAGAAAGTTCAAGCAAAAATGTTTAAGAAATTTTTAAATGAAAAAATTTATCTAAAAATACCATCAAAGTATTATGATATCTAGAAAATTTTTTAATAAAAAGACTTTCTTTACTTTGTTCCCTTAAAAATTTTCAATAACAATGATTATGAAATAATTAAGTGATTAAGATAAAATTAAAATGAATAATGAAAAAATATAACATAAGAAAAATTAGTAATATGTCTTTTTTAAAATAATAATAATAAAAAAATATAAAAAAATTTTATATGCATATTGCACTTATTATTTGCATTACATAATCTTAAAAGTAATATGATTTTGATAGTGAAATTTTAAAAAGTTTGAATAGTAATTTTTAAAAAATCTTTAGATAAAAATTTTTTTTTTAAAAATATTGTCAAAATTTTGAAATATTTAGAATAATTTTCTATATGAAAAACTCTTATTCACTTTTCACTTCTAAAAACAAAACTTTTATGCAATGTAATAGCATTACAAGTTAATCCATGTGCATCATATTAAAAGAGTAAACAAAATCTCTAAAGATGAGATTTTAAAAAAGTTTAAGTAGTGATTCTTTAATTATCTCTAAGTAAAAAAATTTGTTTCAAATGACACAAATATACTAAAGCATTTAGAATAACTTTTAATAAAAATTTCTCGTTTTTTTAAATAATTGGAATAAGAAATCAATTTTTTTAAAATTTTAGTTTGATTAAATTATAGACATTATATTTTATTATATGCATGGTAAACATGAATATTAAAAATAAATATGAACTATCGAAAATAAAATTTTTGAGACGTCTGAGTAATAATTCTTAAGAAATCCTTAAGTGATAAAACTTCCCTTAATATTAAAAAAGTATTATAATATTTTTAAGAATTTTTCTATAGGTAAGATTCTTATTTATTTTTTAAACAAACAACTAAAAATAAAAATATGTTTTACAAAAATTAACTCTAAATACCAAAATTAATATCTTTTTGTTAGAATTAAAGAATAACACATAATTAATTGGTATCATTTTTTAACAAACATTGTGGGGGTGATAATCATTCTTTCCACGTAATTAACTCTTGAATTCAAACTATTTTCATAAACCCAAAAAGTTATAATTTTAATAAATTTTAATTAATTTTGAGATTTTATTAAAAATATAAATTTTAATAAATGATCAATCATATCTAATAAAAAAATATTAATGATAATTTTTTTTTATTAAATTCGTTTAACGATCCTAAAATCATTACGACAATGATTATCATATTAGTGTGAAAACTTTGTTTTTTTATTTACTTTATATAAATCTATGAATATCTCCCATTTTTTATGTAAAAAATATTTCTCTAATTAAAATTATTAACCATTAAAAACAATTTCAAATAAAGTAATGATTCAAATTTCCTATCCAGACACTCAAACAAAAAAAAAATTTCTTCATATAAAAAATTTATGTAGTTTTTCTACTTAAAATTAAATTCAAATCATTTTATCTACTAATATAAAAAAAAATTTCCCATCCAAACCCAAGCACAACGAAATCCTAGTTACCAACAAATGGATAGTATATCCAAGCACCCAAACACATCCGCTACAAATAGCCACAAATTTCTCTACTACACTCCCGAGAGCAAAACCTTAAACCTCTCTCCTCTTCTCAAAAATGGCTATCCTCCAAACCCACACACTTTCTCACCCAGTTCCTTCATTTCCACCCATCTTTTCTTCATCGAAAATCCATTTTCAAAACTCACTATTCTTTTTTACCACAAAGATCAGACCTTTCACACTTTCAACACAACCAAGAAAGCTGCTTTGCAAACCCCCACTTGGCAAATATGTCAGAGAAGATTATCTTGTGGTAAATTTTTTTCCTTTTTGCTTCCTGGGTTTGTTTTGTTTTTCCATTCTCCCTCTTGGGTTGCTGTCAAAATTGGAAAAATGAAGATAAAATGAAGTGTTTTTGTGAATTTTTAATCTTTTTAAATTATTCATTATTGAAAGATTAAGGAAGTGAAATTGAAGATTGCTGAGTTGGAATTCTAGATACTTTTAGCTTTATTCTATTTCTCTTGTGTTTTTGTCTCCCATTAGTTTTCTTCCAAGACAAACAGGAGAAAAATACATTTTTTAAATTAAAATTTGTCACTATTTTGGCTTTGTGGTTTATTTTGTTTACCCAATTGCTCTTATTGGGTTGCTGAAATTTTGAGAAAATAAAGGAGTTTGAAGAGTTTTAATGGGGTAGGGGAATAGAAGAGCTGTTTTGCTTGGAATTGAGGATGTAAATTATTAATGGGGGAGGGGATGCTTTTTATTTTGTTCATATGGCAATTTTTTTTTCTTGGACTTTTGAATTTGATAAGTTGATTTGTCATTTTGGATGGGCAGAAAAAGATGTCAGCTCAGGAAGTTCAGGAGCTAGTAAGGGGGGAGAGAAGTGTACCTATAATTATTGATTTCTATGCAACATGGTGTGGACCCTGTATTTTGATGGCTCAGGAACTTGAAATGGTAAGCTTTATTTAGTCAGTTTCCCTTATGATGTTGTATTTGATAGCTTTGGATTGTTATGAAAATGAGTTTTGTCCCTAGTTGGTTGAGGTGAGAATCTTTGGAGTTTCACTAACAGCCACATGGTCTGTTGGTAGAATGCAAGTAAAAAAATGAATCTTTCGAGTTTCAATTTATTTTGCAGCATATAACCATGCAGAAAGCAAAAAAAAGAAAGCTTGAGTTTAAATTTTGCATTAAAATATCCCAAAATAACCTAACTGCCACGCTGCATTATTTAAAGAAAGATCATATTAGGATCTGGCTTTGAATGTAGGGTCAAAAAGAGTGAAATCCTACTTCATCAACCTAGTAGAAGATGAAACCATGATTTCAAGGTTTCCGCCGAGATTGTATCAGCCAAGATCTGGTCTGACTGTAGGACTTGCAGAAATAGATAAAATTCGTAGTACAAATTGTCAGCAAGGAATATTTGAGATTGCATTGTAGTTTTCCTTTTGATAGATCTTAGGAGGGCTTAAGAGGACAAAATAAGCCAGTGGCACTAGACTATTGCTAACCTAAAAAGGAAAATCATGGACAGTGTGAAGCAACTCCATAACCAAAGAGGTTTAGATATACAGGTGCACTTTATGCTATTGAAGTAGTTCCGAAAATTAAGATGAGTGCATTTGGAACTTCTGTTTCTCTTCCAGAGTTCGTGGAACATATGGGACACCCCATTTCTCTCCTGGATGGTAGCTTCTGTAGTAGAATTAAAGGAGAAGAGACCTTCTGACATTTTCTTTTGGTACAACAAACCTTCTGATATTTTGTACTACAGAATTTTTCGCTAAACAAATGATGTTATCATGATTTTTCCACTTACATTTTCTGAATTTATCATCTTTAACATAGTATCAACTTAATTTTTGGGGAAAGTAGGTCCTAGAAATGGCATTGAAAAATACTGCAGTTTTGCATTTAATGCACAAGTAAGAAAATTGCTGAAAATTCTCAATCTCATCACAGTGATGAAGATAGCTTCTATATAGTAAATTTTAAGATGCCTCTTTCTACAAAGTGGCAACAACACGGCACCTAACTATGTTATGTCCTAGAACAAAGTCACTTAAATCACCATGCAGAACTTAAGTAACACATTCATCCATCTCTTCTCAAATTAAATTCAGACATTTGGTTGCATTAAACCAGGCTTTACTTTTTATATTTGATTGCATAGTTTTAAATTGTTTTGGAGTCAACTAGATTTTGTTTTGCAATAATTCACTGAAATTTATTCTCATTAAATAATGTTGAAAAAAATTAGTAGTTGGTTAGATGAACAGGTAGGACCAGCTTGATTTGTTTGATCCAGTTTGGAGATTAACTCAAGTATTATAATCTCAATCTATTTTTTTAATCACAGCTAGCAGTGGAGTATGAGAAAAATGCAATTATTGTCAAAGTTGATACTGATGATGAGTATGAATTTGCACATGATATGCAGGTAATTTGCAAGTGATTTTATTTCTTAGGTTCTGATTTTACTCCCTTTAACTGTTTGTTTATATCTTATAAGTGGATACTCCCGGAAAAAAAAATCCTGGATCCATCACTGCTAAATGGCATCAATCAGTCGCCTAATCAAAGTAGCTGCTTTTCATTTTAGATCAAATTGATTAGAAATCACTCTGTTGTACCAGGTTAGAGGGTTGCCTACTTTATTCTTCATCAGCCCTGATCCTAACAAAGGGGCAATCCGCACTGAAGGCCTCATTCCAATACAAATGATGCGGGATATCCTAGATAATCAGATATTAGAAGGACAAGACTGATTATTTGCTGCTAAAAGGAATTAAGTTACTGAGTTTTGCTTCAAAGTGTTAATACATATTTTCTTGGTGCCTATTTGATGCAAAATGTAGTTCAAGAAGTTGTATAATTTTCTAACTAACTTGAATGCAGTTAAACAATTTTTTTGGTGTATAGAACGGCATGGCAAGGACCTTTCTTTTTCAAAGGATTCTAAGCTAGTATAAAAGGAAATGCATTGAAAAATTCATGTGACAACTGTCAATGAAACTAACAACAAATTTCAAATTGTTGGTCAAAATTTTTATTGAACCGATATGAAAAATACTTGCTAAATTGATGAAAACTGAAGTTGCTATCTGTTAGGTTCAATAAAACCAAATTCCACAAAGTCCACAAGGGGAAGATGATTCAACTGGTCACTTGTCTCGTATGTTACACTCAGATGACATTTGGTAGGTTAAAGGTGAAGCCTTCCCCCAACTCTTCTGTCGCTCCTAAGGCACTTGTCTACCCTCGATTGTCATCGGCATCAATGATTCTCAGTGCTTGCACATATTTCAACTACCATTGGCACCAAATAACTTTAAGAGCATGCATATGCTTCTACTACCATCGTGTTAACCCTTTGATCTCAATAACTTGTCTCGACCACTGTTGGTACTTGATGGCTTTTGGTGCGAGTAGTTCTCTTGAACACCGTCAACACATACTGATCCGTGCAATATGTGGCAATATCCTGGATTTGGGACACGCATCACACATATCACAATCAGATAATAAGTGGGTTCCAGCACTTTTTCATATTTCTATTGTGATAATGTCATTTTTATGACTTATAAATTCATATAACGTTCTTTCACTTGAGTAAAAGAGTTTAATCAGCTCAATTTTCTCTTAAGTGCATCAAGACAATCTAATCTATAAATTGAGTTCTAAGCATGTGGATTTAACCTAAAATTCTTTCAAAAGTTTCTTAGGAAATAAGAAGGAATTGACTGAATAAAAAAAAATGACAAAAATTGAAGGTCAAAGTACAAATGTTGAAAAAGCTGATGGTCCTCGCAACGGATTTTCCATTAAGTTTCTTAGAAATTAAGAGTTATAATTTTTTTTTCATTTAAAAAAATATAATTTTTGCTGTTTTAATTCATTTAAATTATATAAAAAAAAAAACTTTGTATTAGGATTCAATTGAAAATTTTAATTTATAATAGAGTTTATATTTGATATACTGTTAATATATAGATTTTATATATTATTAATGAATCATATGATATTATTTTATTAATGAATAAATATCAATATTTAAAATAAATATAAAAAATTAATATTTTAAAAAATTTACTAATTAATGAAATAATATTATCTGATTTATCTCATTAATAAAGTGACATTATTCAATTTAATGATGATGTCTAAGATTTATATACTGATAATATATTAAATATAAATCCTATAAGTTAGGTTTAGCAAAT